ACTCGATATTAAAGTATATCCGACTACGCCATTCTTTGATGATGCCTCTGCTCAATCTCGCGTCTTTGATACGACTGACTGTCTGAGGTGGGGCTAGGTGGGAGAGTGTACAAAATGGCATCCACGCTGCGAGAACGCTGCGCAATCGCGACGCTTTCAAATCGCTCGCAAATCGCCAGTGTGATAAGACCCTTAATGAAAGCAATATCGTAATAAAGTATGCGTGTTCAGTAAATATTATTATTATCTATATATATGAAAATTAATTTATGTTCGTTAGTCTCATTAAAACTCGAGAATGGCTGGACCGATTTGGCTAATTTTGATATAGTATTGTCATTTATTGACATAACCTTTACACATTTAAAGAAAAAACTTTTTAACCGGATTATTATAATAATACATCATACATAGAAACAAAAAAAAATCTTAAGCAAATATTAAGTTTTGCTGTCAAATATATCTACCTATATTATACACATATACACATAGACTTGTAAATGTCTAATTTGTTATTTAATCTAAATATCCTAAACCGATTTTGATGATTTTTTGTGTTTAATTTTACAATTAGTGTTTTTTTTATATATAATACTGTGTACAGGTCAACGTTAGTTGGGCTTAAACATTTTACATAATTTTTATTTTTTTTATTGATTTACGCTACTAATAATAGGAAAACCAAATAATAGTCTGGTCGGACCAATGGGTCCGACCAGAGATAAATGTATCTCAACGTGCTAAAAAGCATCTGCCCTACAGACCCTGGACTTGGCCACAGGTTTCTGTTTCGGTTGCAGCTTTGATTTGATTTGAGAGTCTTCTGTGTTAATCATTTATTGAATAGTATTTTTTTTCCAAAAATATATATTACTTCTATCTGCCGCGTAGACGCGCCGATTAGCTAACATATAACCAACAAAGCTAATCGGTTTATACTATCTGATAATTGTCTATCCTTGGTTGCGTGGGTTTTAAATAAGGCGCTATTCAAGAAGATTGGAGTATGCCAAAGGGCTATGGAGCGTTCTTTTCTTCGGTTGAAAAAGAGACAGTGAAGCCTTAAAGTGGAAATGGGCCGGTCAAATTGCCCGCATTTATGATGCCCATATTCCAGTGGAAAGAAAAAAGAATGGTCACCAGAAAGCTGTGTAGATGAAATAAAAGAGATAGCGGGCAAAAAAGTAAAAATTAAGAACCTACCGAAGATAAGAGACAAACGGACTGCTGGCTTTTACTCCGTCGGAGGTCGTGTATTTATATCAAATATAATAATAGCAGAAACTTAAAGTAATCTTTGTTATATTACTCGAATATAGATGTTTTTATCTAAATAATTTTTGAAGTTATACTTCTTTAGGCGCGTTATGAAAAATTGATGAGAGTGAAATTTTACGATGCGCGCGCACCTGAGACACAAAGTTGTCAGTGTGATTATAGCGTGCGCGAGCGAGATGGGAATAAGACAATCTACAAGTAAAAAGAAAAAAAATATAGGTGAAGTTAGCAGCTATGCCGAGAATTTGAATGAACATAATGACATTTACCTTTTAAACAAATAAAGGAGTTTTTATTATTTTTTCAAAGAAATTTAGCAATGCTTTTTCACAAAGACCTATTGTTACTTAGTCAAAAGGTTATGAAACATACGTAGTTATTAAATTGAATGAATAATATAATAAAATAATAAATAATAATCATTATTATTATTAATATTAATTAATAATTGAATAATATACTAAATATTATTAAATTATTAACGATAAATATTTGTTATTAATTATTTAATATTTTAAAAAAATAAAGAAAGCCAAAGAAGTATAACTTCTTACGCGCGTACATAAGTACACGCATTTTTTTTTTTATCTAAATCTTAATATATATATTTCTTGTGTGCGTGTGTATGTGACTGAACTTCTCTCAAACGACTGGACCGATTTTGATGAAATTTTTTGTGTGTGTTCAAGGGGATCTGGGAATGGTTTAGATTCACAAATCAGCCCGGCAGATGGCACTGCAGTCGGTACTTTCATACTTTGCTTAATATCCTAATCGCTTTAAATATCATGCAGGACAACGTCTGTGGGGTCCACTAGTCTAATATAAAAATTTTATGTTGGTTTGTGTACGGTTCAAAAACTCAAAAAGTTCTGCACCGATCGAGCTGAAACTTTAGCATGATATAAAATCCGCATCAAGGATTGTTTTTATTGAATTTTTTTGTTTTTTTTCATTTTTTTCCACAAGTATTGGAAAATTAAACTTATATGAAATGTATTCTTTGTTATGTTCCTCATTTCTCATCCATTCAATCACAATGTGCCACTGCGAAGCGTGACGGGGTACAGCTAGTTTATTATAAAGTTATAGTACGGCCTTTTCTTAATTGTATAAAAGATCTCATATCATCATCAAATTTAGTCCATTTTCATAATTAAGCGCTATCGACTATGAACTGACCCTTAGTGGCTCTTTGGACTCAGAAACGAGACTTAGCCTATGTCTTAGACTTAGACTATTTATTAATTTAGTAAAATTTATGATGTTAAACACATAATATACACAATATCGCTAATGTGAACTCACTCTACGAACATACGAGTATAAAGATGTCGATAGTGTCGGAGACAGCTATCAGTTAGCGCAACGTCTCTGTTAACGGGGATCTGTGCAACAGACTGTTTCTGGCCTTTTATCGCAAAAAAACCTTGGCCTTTACCATCGCACATATCCCCTAGGTACTTTCCCAAGTTCTTGGAGAACCCTTAGATTGCTCACCACCCCCACAAGACTTTAAGTAGATAGTAGGTCAACTGTAAGTCTCGTTTTGTTTCCAATTTATTTTACCCAAGACAAATAATGTTGGGTACACTCAGTGGCGTAACTATACCATCTGGGGCCCGTGGCAAATCTTCTCTCGTGGAAATTCTTTTGATTTCCCTATTTTTACTCATTTCCCTATCAGTAAAAATCGTCCCTACTCATTTTAATTTTAATAAACTTCGAGATTTTCAGCGTACTCAATTACAAGTTGTATATGTCCCACTAATGGCCATAGGCCTCCTCTCTTAGGCGAAAGGGAATGGTCTGTAGTGCCCACGCTAGCCCAATGCGTATTGGAGACTTCACATTCATGTATAGAACATAATATCTCTTGGGCAGAGCCCTCTTGGGTTGGTGGCCCGTGGCATTTTGCCAGCCCTGCCACCCTATTGTTACGCCACTGGGTACACTAAGGGATAGTATATATACCAGTATATATTATGTCAAAAGCGTATTGGACTTTGTCATACGGCTTAGCGTTTAATCTCTGAATCTAAATTAATCAACATTTACTTACTGAATAATACTATTAAAATGAAACCAGCGCACCGCATGTTCGTACATTTATTAATGAGAAATTTATCGGTGTAATAAACAATAAAAAATAGTTGAAACTGTACATAGTTTCGCCCCGACTTTGATTGAAAGTATTCCACAAACAAATCGGATGTTTTGACACCTGTTTGATTAGTCAATCGCTGTATTGCAACGTTTTGAAAAGCTGTCCGGCCAATGGGGCATCCAGGTACGAACTAGAGCAGAAAAAAAACGTGGCTCTGACATTAGCTTCATTGCCCCCGTTAATGACACACCCCGGAAACAGAATGTACCTGGAGAATCTATGAGAACGGATAGTTCTCTTGCAACTGCGATATCTGGTTCGGCATCCCATGTAATATAGTCCCAGCAAATTAAAGTATATATATTACTAGCTGCCCCCGCGAACTTCGTTTCTCCTTTATGTGATTATACTTAACCTACCTTTTTAGTGACCAACATGGAACATTTGCTATGCTACCTCAGAGACTGTAGGTTTCCCGGAATAAAAACTTTTTAGGATTTCCTGTGAATTTTTCTCTATATAAACCTCAGAGTCAAAAGATTTTAGTTAACAAATAAAAAATAGAGGTTGATCGTAGAGGGTGGAAAATTAAGGGTTGTATGTATTTTTGTATGCTGTATCATAATATACATAAACCCAAAAAAAATATCTATAAAATAAAAATAAAAATGTAGGGTTTTACCCTTTAGGGGTTTGAAATATAGATAGTAGCCGATTCAAGCTCAGACTTACTGAATATGGATAAAAAATTTATAAGAATCGGTCGAGTCGTTTCAGAGGAGTATGGGAACGAACATTGTGACACGTGAATTTTATATATTAGATATTGAATACAGCGTAAACACTAAAACCAACTAAAGTTCTTACAGATATTTATTTGTTATTAATAATGGTTAGAGTTTAGGTCTGTTTTCTGTTGTAACAAATTATTTTCTATATCACTACGGTGTACGGATACATTCTATTTTGATTTACATGTTAGTAATAGCGTGCTAATTGACGATGGTGATTTTATGTTTCCTTATAATGAGTGAGTATTATCTACAAATACGGGTGCTTATAAAAAAATTAACAGCCTTCTTCAACGTTTTAAAAACCACAAACCAAGTTACTTTTAGTTGTAGTTACTAGTACCATCTTACTTTCTTTAAGTGGTGACTGTTTAAAGCGAAGGGTTATATGGGATTTGCGATCTGTGCATACACATTAAAACCCCACGGCACCACCAACACTCGATGTGTCTGTGTATGATGACGCTCAAGGGTCATTGCCACATTACCCCATCCACCTACGTACTCGTATATTGCTGCGGGAGGTCGGCTCTAGTTCTTGCAGAGTTTTATCAGCATCTCTATCTTTAGATGACGGAGAGCGTTCGTAGCTTGTATATTTGTTTTTAACGCAATATAAACGCAAATAAAAAAATAAAAATATAAAATAAAAATAAATAAATAATTTATATAACACGTCATTTCGGGTTCTATACAAAACTATAGCGACGCCCTTGTTATCTTGTCTATGGTATGATCCATCAAGTTACAAGAGGCGGTGGCAGACTCAAAAGAATCGAAAAAAAAAAAAAAAAAAGGGGGGGGAAAATGGGGGGGGGGGGGGGGGGGAACACACACAAAAAAAACAAAAAAAGCCCGCAAAAAAACCCCAAAAAGGGGGGAGAAAAAAAAAAAAAGGAAAAAAAACTAATAATTTATTAAAAAAAAAAAAAAAAAATTTTTTTTTAATAATTTTTGGGGGAAAAAAAAAAAAATTTTTTTTCCAAGTTTTCTTGAGCAACTTGTGACGTTTGTCACTTAAAATAGAGAATGACCTTTCTACGAAAATAAACTAAAATTTTTTCAGGGACCCCCGGGGGGGGGGGGGGCCGGGGGGGGGGAAACCCCCCCCAATTACCCCCCGGGGGGTTAAAAAAAACCCAGATTTAAATTCCCCCCCATTTTGGGGGGGAACCCCCCGGGGGGAAACTCTCCCCTTAAAATTTTTTTTTTTTTTTTTCGGGGGGGGCAAAAAGGGAAAATTTTTTTTTTTAAATTCTCAATCGCATCGGGTATAATATGAATTGTTGTTGAGTTAATGGGAGAAATAATTTTCTAACAAAAATAAATACCTAATTAAAAAAAGAACTACAAAAGAAAAAAAAAAAAAAAAAATAAATATGTTGGGAAAAAAAAAATTAATTGCTTTGGATTTGCAAACATGCAAATGCATATAATCCGATGTCTACTTATTAGGTATATCTTATTATGGTATTGTCTTTGATTTACATAAACTTTACACATTTAAAGAAAAAACTGTTTGACCGGATTGAAGTTATGTATTATTATAAATTTACAACTATTTAACATAATTTTAAATTTATCCGACGTTTTGCGTGCTTTACAGCGTGCGTGGTCACGGTGACTGAATACAAAAGATGTTGGATGTCAAAAAGTATCACAGCTGTAGAGAAAGTTGCCTTATCTGTATTTATTACCCCGGAGTTGGTATCGACTAAAAACGTCGGATAAATTTAAAATTATGTTAAATAGTTGTAAATTTATAATAATACATAACTTCAATCCGGTCAAACAGTTTTTTCTTTATATCTTATTAGTAAGTATGTTTATTAGTCAAGATCACCATCAGTTTTCAATTCCTTTATCTGTATAAAGTACAGATTTAGGAAATCCCCATGCTCTGTGTCCACTTCTACTGCCCCCTCAACCCAGCCCCTTCCATTGGACAAACAAACAGCTGGCCCTTGCATTTTCGCTTTTAAATGAAACTCCTTTAGCAAGATTGGTCACTAGTCCTGGAATGAGAAGACTCCCCGTAAACTCGTCCAGGTTTTCTGAAGTCCAGATTTGTTTTGTCCGGAAACCTTGTTACCGCGTTTCAGAGTAATGTCGCTGTAAACATGATAACATCAATATATACAATCATATATAACAATTTAGTCATTAGAGATATTTATCTTGATATCATTAGGAAGTTAAGGAATTTTATAAGGAAGTATTCAATTAGACATTAATTAATATCACAAAATGAGGCACATATTGTTTGATTATATCTTTGAATCTCGAAATTAGTTTTAATCAAACTAAACCAGTAGGGCCTGCGCCGGTAGACTATTACTCCCAATAGCGATATGCTTTTTTTTTGCAAACGGGCAGGATGCTCAGCTGATGTTATGTTACGTTTGAGAATTGGTTCGCTCTTTTCTTAAAAGACTAAGTCGAATTGGTTCAGTGGGCAGCTGGTTCTACATATGGGTGGAGCGCGGGAAAAACTGACGAAAAATCAATCAGTTTTGGCACTCCAGGTGATATGTAAGATAAGAAATGCGCGACGCGCTCACCATATCCTTACTAAGCGGGGAAGCAGTTCCATACATTTAAAAGAAGGGATGCTGCAAGTAAACTTTATCTCCCCTAGCTACTACAAAAGCGGACGGTCTGATCTGACAAGGGTACTTTCTGCTGTTACCGCATCCCGCGTAGGGCGATTGTTGGTGGCATCTTGGGGTTTAAATGGGTATGCGTAGCGATCCCCACTTAATCCTCGTGTACTAAGTAGTCGCACCTTTTAATCCCCAAATTAAAAAAAAGTGTGTGTACTTATGTACACGAGTTAGAAGTTATACTTCTTTGGCGTAACAAGATAAAAATCTTTTCAAAAATTTTATTCTATGTTTGTAAAAAAAACGACACTAACTGGTGTGCGCGCGCATCGTAAAAACCATGTACCCTGACGCGCCAAAAGAAGTATAGCAAAAAGATTCGCCAGACTTGGCATTTCGTATTACCTAATAATAAATATTTGTGGTGCAATTCTTTTATCGTTTATTACTGAAGCTTTAATTATGTATCTTATCCTAGATTTCAGAACATTTTACAAAAATATTTTTTTGCGATAACAATGATAAACATAGCATTTATCATTTATCTCACATTTGATAGAGATAAAAGTAATTCCTCTATTTACTTCCATTGATTTGACGTTTTGATAATTAATAATCTGTCCTTGTGTTGACCTTGTGGTCCTGCGAGAATCATGACTAATGTGAGATTCAGATACTAGATTTAGCGAACTAAGACTGTCATATGTCAAAATTCAAGTTATTTTTGACGTATTGGAGTCAGACTTAGACCCGTTATTCCACGACATGTCAGGCACAGAAGAATTATCATGTATTAGGAAAATATATAAAAAAGCGGGTGCTATCTAAAGCGACGATCGCAATCAGCGCTGATACCCAGTGGCGTAACTATTGTTGTGCCAAAGGGGTGCCAGGGGTGGCAAAATGCCACGATCCCCCGACCCAAGAGTGCCCCTGTCCAAGAGGTATTATGTTCTATAGATGAATGTGAAGTCTCCAATACGCATTGAGCTAGCGTGGGGACTACAGACCATTCCCTCTCGCCTAAGAGAGGAGGCCTATGGCCATTAGTGGGACATATACAACGTGTGATTGAGTACGCTGAAAATCTCGAAGTTTATTAAAATTAAACTGTGTACAACGTGACGATTTTTACTGATAGGGCCCCATCAAAAGAATTTGTCACGGGCCCCAGATGGTATAGTTACGCCACTGCTGATATCTTCCAATATCTTTCGTAACATGTGGTACGGATCTTAAAAATAGTTCGCGCGGAATAAAATCTCCTTATTGGGCTGGGGCTCCGGAAATTACAGATGGGCTCAAATAGTAATAAATCAATGTAAAATTGGTTAATAATTCATTATATATATAGATACCAATGGCGCCTTTAGGTCTAGGCCTCAGATTGCTATATTCCATGATCATTTCTTTTTTTATGGGACAGTGGGGCAAACAAGCCTACGCGACGCCCAAAAACGGCAGTCAGCCCATAGTACCCATTTAAGTGGGTGCGTTGCCGGCCTTTGAGGGAGGAGTATATTTATTTAAACAAGTCGTATATCACAGGGAAAACTCCCACCGGGAGTCGATTCCACGGTTCGCTAGGTTGCAAAAGAAAATGTCTATTGAAGCGGACCGTGGAAGACTTCCAGCCATCAAAGTCAAAGCAAATAGGTGATCAACCCTCTGTGCCTGACACACACAGTCGACTTTTGGGTCTAAGGCATGCCGGTTTCCTCACTATGGTCTCCTTCACCGTACAAGTGTTAAATGCGATATAAAGTCCATTGTACAGCCGGGGATCGAAATTCAGGGATGAGAGTCACTAGGCAAACACTGCTTTGTTCATTAGACAATTTTTTATAATAATAATAAAATAAGTACCAATTCTTAAAAGTCTGGCAGCGCGCTTGCGAGCCTTCTGGCAGTGCGAGTGTCCATGGGCGGCGATATCACTTAACATCAGATGAGCCTCCTGCCCGTTTGCCTCCTGTAACATAATTTTTGAAGTTATACTTCTTTAGGCGCGTTATGAAAAATTGATGAGAGTGAAATTTTACGATGCGCGCGCACCTGAGACACAAAGTTGTCAGTGTGATTATAGCGTGCGAGAGCGAGATGGGAATAAGACAATCTACAAGAAAAAAAGAAATAGAATATGCGTGAAGTTAGCAGCTATGCCAAGAATTTTGAATGAACATAATTACATTTACCTTTCAAACAAATAAAGGAGTTTTAATTATTTTTTAAAAGAAATTTAGAAATTCTTTTTAACAAAGACCTATTGTTACTTAGTTAAAAGGTTATGAAACATACGTAGTTATTAAATTGAATGAATAATATAATAAAATAATAAATAATTATTATTTTTATTATTAATATTAATTAATAATTGAATAATATACTAAATATTATTAAATTAATTATTAACGTTAAATGTTTGTTATTAATTATTTAATATTTAAAAAAAATAAAGAAAGCCAAAGAAGTATAACTTCTTACGCGCGTACATAAGTACACGCATTTTTTTATAGAATAACATAAATTGTATTACGCATGCGCCAAAATCTAATAATAAACTCAATAAGTCTAATTGCACTCTTCTGACTAAAGTATTGTCTCAGAGAAGAAAAGAGACAAATCCACGTTGCTAGCCCATTGTCAAGTTCAATTGTATATTAACATATAAGATATTAAGCAATCAAAATAGATTTTAACTTACAAACTAGGGGCAGCTGCCCCTAAAACGCCCTTATGGTCCAGTCAATATGAAATAACAATAATAAGTTGAAGTAGACTTTCAAGAGTATGAAAATATTTAAAGAAATCAAAACAATACATAATCCAATAATCAATAGCAATATCATAAGGTAATATCTAGAACTTGACGGGTATTGTTCCCTAAACTTGTCATGACAGTGGAATACAGGGGAAACGCTAAAAAACGCCCCGAGTACGGTACGTCACAGGTAGCGTGAAAATGTGTGCATATCATGTATAATGAGACTCTTAGGCTGCTGCCTCGAATTTTGCGGGCAGCGGGGCGGCGGCGGCTGCGGCGCGGGAGCGGGCGATTTCACCTCTCGTTACCCGCCCTCGCGCCGCTGCCACGCCGCTGTTTTCGAGAACAGGTCCATTTGATTTTACGCATAAGATCCTGCCGCTCCCGCGCCCGCAAAATTCGAGGCAGCAGCCTTAGAATCGCGGTATCTCTGAAATGGTAACTCTTAGGAAAAACATCTTAAGAACCATTTTATAGAAAATTTTAAGATCTACAACTAAGGCCTATAACATTTTTTAGATAAAACTTACCATTTTCGAGAAAATTTCAAAAAAAACTAAATTGACCTTTGACTCCGATTAACTTTTTAGCACACATGGGATCGATGGGGATTTTTAAATCTTTATTTGTAATGTTAAACCTCAGCCCTCCACCAAAATTTGGCTCTGTGGGAATTATTGTTATTTAACCATTAAATTGACCAGACTACTTAGACAGATGAATACTTAACTTATTTACTTTACTTAAATTAAATTTCTCAGGTTTCTTTGTTCTAATCCACGGACGAGAGAAGAATCAAGGTGTGAGTCCAATAATATACATTGAAGAAGAGGAGTGGACGATATTTCTTATGCATAGTCATTTGATTAATATGACGGCTCTAATTGTTAAAGGTATATTAAAAGCCTTATTTAAGTTCCTTTCATATTAATTCATTATAAAATATTGAAACGGAAATATATATTACGGCTTTTACGTTACTTTGCTATATTATTACACAAATATAGCTATTTAAAAATGGGGGTTATAATCGAAAATGTATTTTTAGTGCCAAGTCATATAAAAATAAAAATGTGTGCGTGTACTAGGTGTACACACGTAAGAAGTGAAACTTATATAAAACCTTTGTTGTACGCAGAGCCATAATTGGTTTGTTTTAAGTTTAGAGGTTCGAAACTATTTCTTTAAACAAAGTAAATTTTGATACACTGCCTAGCATACAATTTACAAAATAATTGCTGCAAATTGCGATTAGCAAATTTCAAGTCGAAAATGTAAACCGTTGTCAAACTTCAAAGTCAAAAACATACTATATGTCATATTTTAACGCCGATAAGGAAGTGTGACTTCGAAAATGTAATCCGTTGTCAAACTTCAAAGTCAAAAACATACTATATTATGTCATATTTTAACGCCTATAAAGAAGTTTGACTTCAAAAAGCAACATGGCGCGTAACGGAAAAATGTGACGCGTAACGCAAAAATGTTACACTAAATTTTTTTCCAACCCCGATAAAGAAGTTTCACTTCAATAAATAATAAATAATAAATAATAAATAATAAATAATAAATAATAAATAATAAATAATAAATAATAAATAATAAATAATAAATAATAAATAATAAATAATAAATAATAAATAATAAATAATAAATAATAAATAATAAATAATAAATAATAAATAATAAATAATAAATAATAAATAATAAATAATAAATAATAAATAATAAATAATAAATAATAAATAATAAATAATAAATAATAAATAATAAATAATAAATAATAAATAATAAATAATAAATAATAAATAATAAATAATAAATAATAAATAATAAATAATAAATAATAAATAATAAATAATAAATAATAAATAATAAATAATAAATAATAAATAATAAATAATAAATAATAAATAATAAATAATAAATAATAAATAATAAATAATAAATAATAAATAATAAATAATAAATAATAAATAATAAATAATAAATAATAAATAATAAATAATAAATAATAAATAATAAATAATAAATAATAAATAATAAATAATAAATAATAAATAATAAATAATAAATAATAAATAATAAATAATAAATAATAAATAATAAATAATAAATAATAAATAATAAATAATAAATAATAAATAATAAATAATAAATAATAAATAATAAATAATAAATAATAAATAATAAATAATAAATAATAAATAATAAATAATAAATAATAAATAATAAATAATAAATAATAAATAATAAATAATAAATAATAAATAATAAATAATAAATAATAAATAATAAATAATAAATAATAAATAATAAATAATAAATAATATGTTGGGTTATAAGTGTGCAGCGGTAGTCGCGTGCAGCAGTCCAGTTTTATTAATTAATTGACAATATAAAAACATAACAAGACCATAGCAACGCCAACTTTAAATAACGAATTATGACGATATAATATGTATGCAAATTACCAAAGAGTTTCCTCTAATACACCCCCTTGATTTGCATACACATTTAACAACAAATATGTACTAAATAGTCATTACAAAAATATACAGACATGCAATCTTAATCTACACCTAACATTGAGATGCAGCGGTAATGTTTCTGTCTTTGTAAAGCTTTTGTTAGCACATCCGCCGCCATCTCCTCGGTAGACACATACGATAATTGTATGTCAGTATTCTCCCTTAAAACACTTCTTATAAAATAATATTGAATATCGAAATGTTTAGTTCGGGCGTGGAAGACTGGATCCTCCGATAGAAATAAGGCACCTTGATTATCGCAGTACAACACTATGTTCCCGAAATCGCGCAACCCTATCTCTTTCATAAGACTATTCAGGTAAACTGCCTCTTTTATCGCCAAATTTAAACTAATATATTCGGCTTCGCACGTTGAAGTTGCTACGCATTTCTGTTTCTGGGATTTCCATGAAATCGCAGCCCCTCCTAACAAAAAAAGCATACCCGGAGTATGACTTCCTATCTATAGGACAATTTGCCCAGTCAGCATCCGAATAACCAATTAAGCTCTTACCTGTTTTTCGATAAATCAGTCCATAATCGGCTGTCCTCTTAAGATAACGAAGTAATCTTTTCACCGCATTCCACTGTATCTGTCCAGGATTATCACAAAACGCTGCTAATCTTGTCACGGCGTGTGTGATATCCGGACGAGTTCCTGCTGAAAGATAAATCAAGCTTCCGATTAATTCTCTATATGGACATTCCTTCTCCAGCGGAATTTGTGAACCATCGGGTCTAAAATTCACCTCCATCGGCGTGGTCACTGTTTCTTTACAATTCTCCATGCCGAATTTTATCATCAAATCATTAATATATTTTTGTTGTGACAGTTTCGTGGCATACTCATTTTTGACAATGTCAATGCCTAAAATATATATCGCCAGTCCATAGTCTTTTAAATCAAACTCTTTGGAAAGTTCATCTTTGAAAGATTGTATGAGACCTTTATTGCGTGAAACTATCAGTAAATCATCAACATAAACCGCTAAGTATATAGACGTATCAATGGAGTTACCGTCCAAATAGTAGAGACACGGTTCCTTCAAAGACTGTTTAAAATGCATTGACTTCAATTTATTGTCAAGTCTTTTGTTCCATTGACGTCCAGCTTGTTTCAAGCCATACAGTGATTTCTTCAATCGACATACATCTCCACCTGTCTTCAGATCATTTAACATCTTACGAGCCTGCTCTTTTAAGCTTTCGTCTCTTTCTTCTTTAATAATTCTACCTAAGCACTCTGTCAACAATTCTGGAACCTCCATATAAATTTCCTCGTCAAGATATCCATTCAGATATGCAGTATTGATATCCAACTGGTGTATCTCCATGTCTAATTCAACCGCGAGCGCTGTAAGCAGTCTTATCGTGTCTAGTCGGACGACAGGTGAAAAAGTGTTTCGGTAATCGATGCCATATCGTTGACTGTAGCCCTTGGCTACCAACCGTGCTTTCTTCTTCTCGGTTTTGTCAACGTTAAGCTTCGTTGTCAATACATATCGGCATCCTACCGCTTTTCGATTTCTCGGCTTTTGAACAATTTCCCATGTTTCATTTTTTACAAGACTTTTGACCTCAGACAATATTGCTTCCTCCCATAGAGCACGTTCAGCGCTACTTAGGGCATCCCCTAAGGAAGTTTCCACAGTCAACGCAACATCCTCAGGTAAAGTTTCTTCTGCACGGCTATTATTATCATTGGGTATCATTTTATAGACCTTCTTAGGTCGGCCAACTTGGCCTTTCTGAAGTTTTGGTCTTCCGGGACCTCTCTTATACGTTACCTCTGTATCAGCTTGCGCTATTTCACTATCTTCCTCATGACATAGAGAAGGTGAATCAGTCGTCTCCACGATCATTTCTCGAGTTCCTGAATAAGATGTACTTGGTATTACGTCCACCTCTACATATTTCGGCTTCGGTGTATCAACATCAGCAGAAAATTGATCTAGCTGAAAAGGATCATGAGTAATTGCCGATTTCATGTCATCATTAGTATCGAGCCTCGTCTTGCAGAATTTCACATCCCTAGCTATAATGGTTTTATGGTCTACTGGTATCCATACCTTATATCCCTTTTGGTTCATTGGATATCCAATAAATATTCCATTGACACTTCTGGCAGCAAATTTGTCCTTGGTTGGATTCTTGTCTAGAACATAAACTTCAGCTCCAAACTTCTGAAGATACTCAATCTTCACTGGAGAGCCAAACCACTTCTCGTACGGAATTGTACCACCCAAACTACTCGTGGGACAACGATTCCTAATATGACATGCCACCAATACAGCATCTCCCCAAAAACCTGCTGAGAGATTAGATGAAAGTAACATACACCTAGCCATTTCAACTAATGTCCTGTTCATTCGTTCTGCTACGCCATTCTGCTGTGGGGTTTGAGGTATAGTCAGTCTTCTTATTATCCCCTCTTGTTTCAGGAATTGATCAAACTTATTATTACAGTATTCTCCACCGTTATCAGTTTGTAAATACTTTATTCTCTTAGCGGTAAGGTTCTCAACATAGCTCTTGTATTCTTTGAAACATTCCAGAACACCACTCTTACTCTTCAGTAAGTAAACTTCGCACCATCTAGTACAATCGTCAATAAACGTGACAAAATATTTTGCACCACCGACAGTTTCATTTCGAATTGGCCCAACTACATCGGAATGGATGATGGACAGTTTTTCGTCACATGGTCCACTCGACTTGGAAAATGGGAAAGAAGTCATCTTACCCTGCACACAATACTTACAGTCGTATAAAATATTTATATTTGACATATCAACTTTAATGCCCACATGACCTAATACTTTTATTAAATCCTTCACATTTAAGTGACCTAAACGTTCGTGCCAGGATAGTAAATCGTTCTTAGTTTCGGAAATCGCAGAAACAGAAGCATGGCCCTCCCGCATATAATAAAGGTTGTTTTTTCGATCTGCTATGAACTTAATATTCCCTTCAGAATCGGTTACATAAGCTGAATCTTTCTTAAAAGTTACAATAAAACCTTTGCTTGTAATTTTAGATACGGAAATTAAGTTGCATCGCAAATCGGGAACATATAAAGTGTCTGATAGTTTTATCGGAACCTCCCCATTCAAACTCACAGTTCCTTTACCTTTTGCAAATGTACTCACATTGGTGGCCAAACTTAACTTACTACTGCAATTTGTCAAGGTGTCAAATTTTCCTTTCGATCTACAAAGGTGCGATGTACACCCACTATCTATGAGCCAGTTTCCTCCACATCCCGAACCAATCACTCCGTTACACTCTGAAACAGATAGAACACATGAGTTAAAATTCTCACTAGCACCTAACTCACTAACACATTTTGAGTCCTGCCTTGTTCCTTTACACGGGCAGTCCGAAGCTTTATGCCCTTGTTTATGACATCTGTAACATTTAAATTTAAACGCTTGATCCGGTTTATAATTCTGCGGATTTTTAGATGTAGAACTCCTAGCTCCTAGCGTGGTTTTTCTCCTAGCGAACATTGCTGACGACCCCCTCTCTGTCTCCTTCCTTTGCTGTCGCCTAGAGGCATCTTCTTCAAGAATTTTAACTTTTAAAGAATTCGGGTCTGGCAATGAATCTCTAGTCTCCATCGCACATCTAAAGTTCTCATAACTTGGGGGCAGACTATAGAGTAAAATAATAGATGCAAGATCATTATTTATATTTATGTCCATGTCTAGTAACTTTTCTTTGGCTTCAAAGAAGCTTAACAGATATTCACGCATGTCGTCCTCCTCACACATCTTGTGTAATATGAGCTGCTTTAACAGTGTCGCTTTCTTAGCGGGACCCGAAGACGCGAAGATGCTTTCTAATTTGAACCAACATTCTCGCGACGTACTCGTCCCCTTAATGTGTCGTAGCTCACCTGGACTAATTGAGAGAATAATCTCCGCTCTCGCCTTTGCATCCGCCGCTTCCCAAAGCAACGCCTCTGCTGGCTCAGCTGGCTTCTTAATGCTACCATCCACATAGCCCCACACATCGCTCTTAATCAATAGAGCATGGGCCTGGATTCGCCATGAGTCGTAATTATCACGGCTTAATAATTCTATCCGCACACTCGCCATCGTTACTAGGTTAAGCACTCTAGTTCCCCCTTTTTTTTATTAATTTACTGGACTATGACTGGGCCCATAACCTTTGTTGGGTTATAAGTGTGCAGCGGTAGTCGCGTGCAGCAGTCCAGTTTTATTAATTAATTTGACAATCTAAAAACATAACAAGACCATAGCAACGCCAACTTTAAATAACGAATTATGACGATATAATATGTATGCAAATTACCAAAGAGTTTCCTCTAATATAATAAATAATAAATAATAAATAATAAATAATAAATAATAAATAATAAATAATAAATAATAAATAATAAATAATAAATAATAAATAATAAATAATAAATAATAAATAATAAATAATAAATAATAAATAATAAATAATAAATAATAAATAATAAATAATAAATAATAAATAATAAATAATAAATAATAAATAATAAATAATAAATAATAAATAATAAATTATAAATCATAATAAATAAATAATATTAAATAATGTGACGGTAAATTTTTTTCCAACGCCGATAAAGAAGTTTCACTTCAAAAATTGATGTTGTTAGTTATATATAATATAGTTTATGATTAACCTATCGGATATAGACAAAGCTTACGGAGAAGTTGTTACAAACACGAGAATTTTATATAGTTTATTTTAGTGTAAATTCGCTTTACTACATATTGATATACATTTTAGTACTTTTTATAGGGATAAACTACAAAATTGTAATTAAAAACCTTCTATAAAATCGTTATTGAAGTGAAACTTCTTTATCGAGGTTGGAAAAAAATTTAGTGTAACATTTTTTCGTTACGCGTCACATTTTTCGGTTACCCGCCATGTTGCTTTTTGAAGTCAAACTTCTTTATCGGCGTTGGAAAGAAACTTCTTTATCGACGTATGGGAGAAATTTTGTAGCAAATCGTCACGTTTTTCAATGAGAGTAATAATTATATTACAATTAATGAAATTCTATAATAATCTTCGTAGTAATAAGGTAAAATGAAATATTTGTATTCATGTCTATGATAATAAAAGCCTATTGTTAAACTTTATCTAATTTAACGAATTTCTGTAAAGTTGCATATAGTAGATCATTTTTCGAAAAATAAGATCATAAAGAAGTTTCACTTCTTACGTGTGTACACCTAGTACACGTACAAATTTTTATTTATAAGTAATCTTACATACACATACATACAAAAAAACATATAAAAAAAGAGACTGAAATTAAATCAAACAAACGACTTATAATATGTAAAGACAAAACTACATTTTACTGATAAACAAAGTCAGTCTTTTTTTTAATAGAACAGGGTGCAAACGGGCAGGAGGAGGATGTTAAGTGATACCGCCGCCCATGGACACTCTCAATCCCAGAGGGCTCGCGAGTGCGTTTCCGGCCTATTAAGAATAGGTACGCTTCCCACCTCTTCAAATATTTCCTCACATCCTCTTTAGTGAGGTGGAAAATATCACCGTCTTCATGAATAGTGTTATAGTTAGCTAAAATCCAAAAAATTGGCGAATTCAGGTAAAAAGGCCTTTTTTTTACAGACACAAAATATAAACTGAACCAGGCGCGGAATATTCAAGACGAGCACAGACATAGCATTGGATATGACCTCGGTACTATCGCCGCTGGAATCCTGGAACGGTTCCTGCTTATGCTGAAGCTGTATAGGAAATACTCGTCCATACCTGATTTGAAGGAAAAGAAGTATTCTATAGAGGAAATGATGAATATACTGGCTGTTATTCGTAAGCTATTTACTAGTACTACTAATTAGTTCACCAGTGTCAGATACGCCTTCTTTATGACAGTCACCATGATTGCGAGCCAATTGCTGACTTACACTGAAGTACATCGCTGGTGGTTTGTTTGGGGTATACCATTTGGATCACCATGCCTCGGTGAGAATGCGAAACAAAAGACGAAACATTTTTTTTTATGTAACAGGGAGCAAACGGCAGAGGGCTGATGTTAAGTGATACCGCCGTCCCTGGACACTCAACGCCAGAGTGCTCGCGAGTGCCTTGCCGGCCTTTTAAGAATTGGTACGCTCTTTTCTTGAAAAAAAAAAAAAGTTGAATTGGTTCGGAAATACTTCAGTGGGCAGCTGATTCCACAAAGTGGTGGTGCGCGGCAAATAACTGCCTTGAAAAACGCTCAGTTGTGGAACGGCGGACGTCGAGGTGATACGGGTGGAATTTCGTATTCTGCCTCGACGTCCGATGATGAAATTCAGCTGCAGGTATTACATAGACTAGCTCTTCTAATACAGGTGTGACAGACATTCTCACAAAGATAGACCAAATGAAATGGAGATGGACGGGTCATATGCTACAGAGCCCTATTAAAGTGGAGAAATATATTGACGGAATGGTACCCTAGAGACGGAAAACGAAAAAGGGGCCGACAACGCACAACGAACTGGCTACAACTAAAGAAGAGTCGCAAAGGATAGAGAAAAGTGGAAAGGGTTAGAGGATGCCTTTGCCAAGAGGCACACAGGCGAGATGTACTGCAGTAAAAATATATTAAACGTCACAGATCACAGAGTTTAGGAATATAAAGGGTTATTATTGAGGTTATACTGGTGTACTTCCTTTGGCGCGTTAGGGCAAAATGATGAGAGTAAATTTTTACGATGCGCACTCCGTCCCATAAAACCGACACCCTGAAGTTAGCTATAGTCAACATTTTAGTTTTTATAAAGTTATACTTCTTTTGTCGCGTTAGCGAAAAATTATGAGATAAAATTTTAAAGTTTTTTCTACAAACGTAGAATAAGGCGAAAGATAAAAATGTTGGTCACCGTGACCACGCACGCTGTAAAGCACGCGAAACGTCGGATAAATTTAAAATTATGTTAAATAAATGTAAATTTATAATAATACATAACTTTAATCCGGTCAAAAAGTTTTTTCTTTAAATGTGTAAAGGTTATGTCAATCAAAGACAATAATATATAACCATTGTCGTTTGTCGTTCTCCAGTGCTATCCACAATGTTGACACGAGAGGACGTTTTGCTGGCTGCGGCAGCGACTGTTGTAATTTTAAATAACAAAAGAAAAACAAAAAAAACGTAGATGCTGGGTTCATACATATCAATAACATGTTATTATAACATTCAGTGTCCACATTATCTGAAACATGTTGTATAGCAATGTTGTATAACATGTTATGTTATATAGTCTGTACGCATCTTAATATAATTTCTAATCAGAAACTTCAATAGAACTGTAGCTAAACCAGATAATTTTCCGAACTCCAAAACTTCTGGTGTCAAATAAGAATTCTGAATTTAAGAAACGGATTCTTCGAATAAATGTGTTTAGACCCCTACTTGTGTATTAATGCAATACAAGATTTCCATAAATAAAGTGTATTAATTTTCAGAAGGTGCATATAACGAAATAATTCTAGAAAAGTCCATGTTCTTCCAAACTCTGAAAGCGTATGAGGCACTGGATCCCGACCACGTCGAAAAGGGCAGGATGGACCGTCTGAAGAGTAAGAAGCCTTCATGGTTCAATAGAAATAGGCCTAAGTTTAGGCGAGCTGGTCTGTGGAAACCTGGTGTGGATCAATTTGACATATAATAAAATATTTAAAACTTTTATTTCAGCCGTGCGATTCTGTTAATCCGTAACTCACGTAATTTTTAAAATCTCATGGTATTCTGTTAAGCAATTTCACATTACGTCTTGACAAGGGGAGGGAGCTTGTAGTTTATTGTTCATCAGAATACCAAATCGTAAAATGACTGCTTCACGACTGATTTGAGCGCGACCGCCGCTGCGAAAACCGCTGTGAGAGTTCGAAAAGTGAGTTACAGAATCGCAAGGCTGGACTTTATTCCAGTGGGTATGGTATGTTTTAAATATTCTATTGAAAATAACATCCTAACCATGGTTAAAAACATAATATAATATAATAAAGAAATTATATATAATCAATAAAGTTTTTTTAATTTTTTTTCCTTATTAGGGTTGCTTGGAAGATGTCGCTAGTTAGCGATAAGGCAGCCCGTTGCATCCCTTATAATTTTTATGTATTATGTTATTTGTTTTTCTAAATTGTAACGAAGTGTAAATAAATAAATAAATATTGTGTTTTTAACAGAAATATAAGTAGTTAAAACTCAACTGACGCGTGTATAACAATAATAAAAAAGAATGAGATATATAATTTTTTTTTTTTTAAAGGACAAGGTACGTTGTAATTGTGATTATAATGCGTGCGTGGTATGGTTGTAATTGGCCCTGGCTCAGCATTATGTTGAGGAGCAGACTGTTCCACAGAGCTTATACTTCCAGAGACCACAGCAGTTTGCGCCTGTCGCAAAAAAGAAAAAATAAGTTTGAAATTGTTAGTGAAAACGTTGTTTTTAAAAGAGGGTTGGTTAGAGACCAAAGGGAAAAAGGGTTAGGCGAAGAAAGTACGTTTTTGCGTAGGTTTGTTTTGTGTTTGATGTGGTGTGATCGGTGGTTGTTTCTTAAAAAGTCTGAATTAAGTATAGTTGTCTAACCGTAAAAAGCATTATTTCATAGTTGTAAACCATTTACAATTGAAGTATAAAAAAACTTATCAGCAAGTATTGTTCTCCTTTCTCTTTCGGCCGTGAATTTTAGAGGGCGCAAGTAAAAGATACGGACTTGACATGAAATACAGGAATGTATTCAGGCATATAAAAACCCATAAATAAATTAATTAAATTTGTGTGTGTCGAGTATGAGTTGACACAATGCCACTGGATACACATACACAGCTTCAACAATTCTATTCAGTTTTATCCCGTCCTAGAAATCTGCGATTCATTTTCATTGGACTGCATAGAAGCTGGTCCTGCTCCATAGGACAATCATAGATCCTGGACAAAATCAAATTGGTTGCTGATTTTTTGCTTTTACATATTTTTTTAAATTTATAATACTACAAAATGTAATTATTTTATTTTATCTCACACTCTGTTTTATTGTGTCTTTTTATATTATTTTTATTACTCTTTAATGTATAATATTCTACGGTTTCGATATTTGTAAATATGTGAGGAACATGTATACTAACTTTTTGGTATAATAGTTTTATTCTAAGAGTACATTGTCTTTACATATAATTATTTAAATAATGTAAACAAAATATTGTAAACCCATTTTAAAAGAGTAAGAGTGAAGTTTCTTGCCCATTCTTCTCCACACGAATCTACCTTTTGGAAGGGGCAGCTAGAATCTTCTTTATATTTTATTTGACGTTCAAAGGTGCCATTTTAGGTGGTCTAATTGAAATAAATGATTTGACTTGACTTGACTTGCTGGGCACTCCGCCTCCACAGACACGCCGGACGCGTATAAAATTAATGTAGACTCAACACTTTGTACGAATCATTAAACTGAACTCTTAATGAATCCAGTGGCGCTTTGAATCTGGGCCTCAAAGTTCTGTATCTGTTTCATAATCTGTTCTCTAGCGACTAGGTGATCAGCCTTCTGTGTCCGACACAAGTGGTCGAAGCATGTCGGTTTCCTTACGTTTTCCTATATCATACAAGCGTCCATTGGGGTACAGGCGTTCGTAGCTACGACCTCAGGGATGAGAGTTGCCACTAGGTGATCAGTGCCATCTAGCCCATATAATAATAATAATAATAATTTATTTATTGCAAGAATATGGTACAAATGCTAAGGTGATACAATCATAAATCGTTCCCATATTCTGCCACACACGATGGCGCGCAAATTCGTCCCAAAGAATTTTACAATATTATTCAAAGCCAATTCCTATATTATCCAGCCTATTATATTATATACATTTCATCATTAACTTTATATCATTTACAGTGTTTCATGCAAATAATCATTTATTGAATAGTAAACTTTATCCAAAAGCAATTCACTAAGTCGCTTTTTAAAGAATCTAGACGGAAGATCTTTTAATTCTTTTGGTAATTTATTGTAGACTTTAATTGCCATATAAAAGCTGTTTTTCCGAAACAGTTCCAGATTGATTTTTGGCACAGCCAAATTCTTCCCATGTCTACTTCTTACTTCAACTTCTACATTCGACTTAAAAATATGTATGTTTCTGTGCACGAATAAGGATATCTCTAAAATATAAATACATGGAAGAGATAAAATTTTGAGCTTCTTAAATAAAGGTACGCAACTATCAAGACAGTTTGCTCCACAAATTGCTCTAATACATATATATATAATAGGGTGATGGGCTCCTAAACTTAATATATATAAATTACGTGTCACGTTGTTTGTCCGCTATGGACTCCTAAACTACCAAACCGATTTCAATCAAATTTGCACACCGTGTGCAGTTTGATCTAACTTAAAAGATAGCTTACATCTCAATTTATACCCGCAATATTATTTTATTGCAAAATACTTGTTTATTATTTGATAGTCACAATTCTAATAGATGGGGCTGTGTTGAAAGTACCAACGTTTCACATAAGCTACAATTTAATGGCATTACCACCAAAAAAGCATGGTGGTCCCCATGACTGGTGTTCTCCTACCGTTTCCCTTGAATAGGTTACTACTATGTAATATAACTAAAACCTTAGCCACAGCAATGCTTGGCCGGTCTGCTAGTATGTTCTATAAAATAAATTTACGACATACATTTACATAAGGTTGTATGTGCCAATTTTACCCAGTTATGTATCCAACTTTGTTTGTCTTGGGAAAGGATAGGGTAGGTAGAATACAAAAAGTTAGAGATAAGGGGGAACCTTATTAACACATACTTTTTAAAGGTCCTTAGATATAGTATACCTAGTCCAGCCATAAGTTCTGTTACAAAGGAAAATGCAATTTTTAAATTTTCAAATGTGATATTATTAAAATGTAAACCTACATATTTATTAGTCTCAGCAAAAAATAAAAAATATTCTATTCGAAATGGCCAACTTTGGCTTTTATATTGGCCTTTAATCTGATCGGCCACGAATCTATGCATTTACGCAAAGGAATTTTCGCCACTGCTTGCTCTTAATATCTTTTAATAGACTCAACATCGCCGTGTTGTTGAGAGCTGGCTATGTCCTCTAAAACTGACCATATTTTTTTTATATATAATAGGGGGACAAATGAGCTTGCGGGTCGACCAAAAAGGGCAGTCTTCCCAGCCCATAGACACCCATAAATTCACCCATTCTATTACTTATAATAAGTATATTATTTAATAAGTTAAAAATAGGTTTAAGTTTTTGTTTATTTAAGTGGTTTATATTACGTTTTTAGTTAAATTTTTATATTAATTATTTCTATTTTAGTATTAAGTTACTGTAAAAATTGGAAATAAGGTAATAATTTATATGTCCTTTTATTAGATCTAGGATATATACCTATACTTGTATGTATATACAACTAACTATATGTCGAAATTCTGGGCCGACAGTTAGAGCATCCTCATGCTGATTAAAATAATCCAAAAATATTAAATCGATGTGCTTACAATTTGATGCCAATTTTAATTTAATAGATCATTAAATACACACTCAAATCTCATTAAATTTGTTAATAAATGTAAACTATTCGCAACACATGCAACATTATGGTTGCAATAAATTGTTCTATTTATATAATCTGTGAGTCAGAAAATTATCAATAAATATTGCTATAACCTGATTGTTTCCTGGAAATTTGTTTTCAGATAAAAGCGTGAACAGGTGACATATAGGAAGATTGTGTCCCTTCGAGGAGCTCCATGGTCACATCACAAAAAAAATTTTTTTTTGAAGTTATACTTCTTTTGGCGCATTAGGGAAAATAGATGAGAGTAAATTTTTACGATGCACGCGCACACTGTCACAAAAACCGACACCCTGAAGTTAGCTATAGTCAAGATTTTAGTTTTGAAGAAGTTATACTTCTTTTGGCATGTTAGGGAAAAATTATGAGGGTAAATTTTTACGATGCGCGCGCACACCGTCACAAAACCGACACCCGCACACCGTCACAAAAACCGACACCCTGAAGTTAGCTGTAGTCAACATTTCAGTTTTTTCTATTGTTAGTGTCGTTTTTTCTACAAACGTAGAATAAAATTTTTGAAAAGATTTTTATCTTCTTACGCCAAAGAAGTATAACTTCTAACGCGTGTACACACACGTTTTTTAAATATTTAAGGTATAATTTCGGTGAGCTACGTTTTCGGAAATGAAACGGAGGTGCCAAAGGATGTCGAAGCGATGAAGAATGATTTTAGTCCCGCTCTGTATACCAGATTTGGATCCACACCACAAGGTTTGTTACGAAACTATTTGAAAAATTACAGAGCTTTTGCTCTAAATATTTCGTGATTAGTATAGATTATAGAGTACAAATGTGCGTTTGGTTAGGTTTATGTGACGTATGTATGTTGATTTCATTTAAAAACAAGATCGAACGCCTGCAGAATTTCTGCATACGTTTCATATTTGGTCTTAGAAAATATGACCATGTGTCTAAATTCCGCAGGCAGCTGGGGTGGCTACCTATTCGATTCAGACGTCACGCTCATCTTCTTCAACTTCTATACTCAATTCTTTTCAATCCGAAAACCCCTTCTTATCTCAAAAATCACTTCAAATTCTTAGGTCTAACTATATTATATATGTTACGCTCTTCTAATAGATGTTTATTGGAAATTCCATCCCACACTTCATCCTTCTTAGGCAATTCATTCACGATATCCGCTATTAAGTTGTGGAATAGGCTGCCCGACTCCGTCCGATTGGCTACCTCTCTGTCATCTTTTAAAACTCTTCTGTATAATCATTTCTTAACCTTATCCTATCCTGATCAATCGTGACTTGTATAATTCTTATGTTTCCTTTTGCATCACTATTGCTGTTCATGAATATGTAAGATTAGCTTTTAAGTTTTTAGTCTGTTATTAATATTTTCTTTTGTATTACTTTAGATTAAGGTTCTATATATATATTTTTAATTATAACATTTGGTTCACTTCTCGCACGCATCATGTTTCTTTTTTTTTTTTAGTTTTTCTCTTTAACTAGGGTTGCCTGGAAGAGATCGCTTATTAGCGATAAGGCCGCTCGTTGCATTCCTTATAATTTTTATGTATTGTGTTTCTTTTATTTGCAACGAAGTGTAAATAAATAAATAAAATTTAATTTTTTTGTAATAATAAATATTTTAATTTAGATGTTTTTTCTGATGCTCACGTTAAAATTACTAAATACATTATATTTTAATCCAAAACTCCAAATTTGTCAGTTCGTTTAGTATGACTTCCAGTTAGTACGACGTAATATCCCGATCCCTTGGCCGTCTTTATGTAATGTTTGGTGTGAGAGACTTGATTTAAATAGCTTTTAATATTATATTATTGATTCGCTACACACAATACACACTTATTATAATATTAATTAGTAACAAAAGATATTCGTGGTCGCTTACTGCTAGTACCCGTATCACCACGAAATTCCACCCGTATCACCTCGACGTCCGCTGTTCCACAACTGAGCGTTTTTCAAGGCAGTTTTTGCCGCGCACCACCACTCTGTGGAACCAGCTGCCCACTGAAGTATTCCCGAACCAAGAGTGTCCATGTTCGGCGATATCACTTAACATCAGGTGAGCCTCCTGCCCGATTGCCCCCCGTTCTATAAAAAAAAAAGAAGTATTACGTCCGTCAGTATAGTTACGAATGTACTGGCTTATATTTACAATCGCGGAGGAGGTCATTTATAATACTTTGTGTAAACAAACAATACTATTAAGGACTTGGACATTAAACATTTATCAATCTAAACAACAAATATCCTTAATGAGTTCTGCAAATGGAAACATTACAGTTATAACCGGTTTATACTGTACCAGATAAGTGAGGTATAAAATACTTTTAGTTCTAGCAGTTCTAGGATTACAAAAAATAAATCAGTGGTGCTACAACCTTTTTAGGTCTGGGCCTAAGATTTCTGTATGTTTCATGATCGTTTGTTATTAGGCAAGCAGGTGATCAACCTTCTGTGCCTGACGCACGCCGTCGACTATTTCGGTCTAAGGCAAGCCGGTTTCTTCACGAAGTTTTCCTTCACCGTTCGAGCGAATGTTAAATACGCACATAGAAAGAAAGTCTACTGGTGTATAGCCGGGGATCAACCTACGACCTCAGGCATGAGAGTCGCACGCTGAAGCCACTGCTCAATCGGCTAGGATTAGAAAGAGAGAAAAATTTAGCAACATCGAAATAGATATAACAATAAACAGTAAGCCTCGTACGTTTGCCATGCAATGCCCTGCAAATGTAGACAATTGCAAACTTTCTAGTTTTTGAACTAACCTAAACTCTACTGTTTACCCTATAGAAAGTTGTATTTATGGAGAAGGTTGTGGCTGATCTCCAAAATGTTTTTAGAATACGACCCGTTTGCAGTAAAAAAAATGATATCGATACCATACAATGGGACACACAATGGCACGCGTAAAGGTATCTTTGACTGGCTCTTTGGATGGGGATTTGATGAAATGTGGGGCTACGAGCCATACGCCAATATGAACCATAAGGGTCAAGCGTGCCTGTACATGCAAGTCAGCTATAAGAACGCGTAAGTATAAAAACTAGACATAAACATAACATTTATTACTAACAAAAACACACAAAAAAAAGTGTGCGAGTACTTATGTACGCGCGTAAGAAGTTATACTTCTTTGGCATTATTAAAAATAATTTTTGATTGCATGCAAATAATTAATTACAATTAAATAATCAAAGACTGGAAAAGGAGTCATTATAGTCAATAAAGTTCAGTTTTCATTTGAAAAATTAAATAGATAAATAATTATTATTATTCTCTTACATTAAGTGTAACAGAAATTCTATTATTATTCGAATGTTGTTTTTAAATTAAGTCCAATGCCGTAGCATCTTCCGTGGGCAACTTCATACTGATAATTTTGTGTAACGGTGCGCGCGCATCGTAAAATTTCACTCTCATCAATTTTTCATAACGCGCCTAAAGAAGTATAACTTCAATAACAATAATCAAAGAAAAATGGAATGAGAGATATCAAAAACAATAAAAAAAATCCCTTTTCCCATTCGGTTCGTTTCGAGTGTGTAATGCGTGTGTGCTGTGGCTGTAATTGGCCCTGGCTCAGCATTATGCTGAGGAGCGGACTGTTCCAGCAGCGCTGGTCATTCTGCCAGAGACCACAGCAGCTAATTTGCGCCTCAGTCGCGTAAAGTTTCCAGTGTTCGTAATGAAATAAAGGTGTATAGTAAAATTAATAATAATGTAAATTAAATAAAATTAAAAGTTAAAAATAAGAATAGTTAAAAGTAGATAAATATTTTTTTTTCTCACATTTATTTATAGTTTTAATATATGTAGTTTTAGAATTAGTAACAATTCGATCTTACAATATTGCTATGTTATTGGTCAGTGAACAAAACAAAAACAATCCAGTGGGGTATGGACAGCATACCAACGTTTTACGATATGCGTGTTCTTGGTAATCAACACATTCAGGATACCATTGGTGCTAAGCTATAACATAATGCATCGACAACCCGTTTCCGAATGATGGCACTGAAACCGTCAATTCGGAGTCTCGGCCATTATCTGGCGCACTTTTTACTTGGTGAAATGCTTTGCGCATACCCTTCAGATTTTGAAGCTTTATTATTTATTCTTTAGGTAACGGTTTTGAATACCATCGCACTTTTTTGACGATACTAATTATTTAGGAGTCTCGGAGGACCTTCATTGGAACACCTCCAAGTGAGTTTTGCTCCGGAAACGCGTCAAAAAAACGCGTTTTTTTTTTTTTTCACCTGGGGAAACCCGATTACGGGCCCCCGCGCCTGGGCAAGTGTGATTGGCGCGGGGAGTGTGGGGATCAAGGTCGTAAAATGCGATGGTCCCCATACCCACTAAAACCACCAGGGCCCAATACATAGCCATAGCACGTGTAGAGCAGTAAACAAAAGCAAAATAAGCAATATAGCAAAATAAAAAATCGGTCAGTCAGTGTTTAATTTATAGACATATTTGACAGCTTTAATTAGCTCCAAAAATGGGTCTTTTTTATGTTTTGTATTGTTTCGCCGCCACAAATATTCATAGACATGATCTGAAAAATTTTCAGAGTTATTATAATTATCCTTTTTAAAAAATCTTTTTACTGCCCTCCACTGTGACTCAATCCTTTGCGTATGGGTTCCATCTTCAGCCACAAACGGGTTTTCAGGGTCTGAATGATTCACTTTTGATGTATGTACCCATGGTCTGCCAGACAATCGTATGCTTTCCAGAAGTCAGTATGAATGATAGTACCAACTTCAACATGTTTTTTGAATGAGAGGAAGTAATATATCAGCTGATCGAATATTATTTGGGCACACTTCCAATCTTAGGTCTTCAGATTTGTCTTCGATCATACCAAGGACCCAATAGCCCTCAATATGTCGTCCTACAACAATTAAAGAATTAGTTAATAAGCTTAATGAGTTAAATAAATTTTGTAGATGTGATAATAATAGGGTTATTGGACAGCTCTGGTTTTTAAATTACACTCTAGGAGTAAAACAGACTAATAACACATATAGTAAATATTAATTAATAGTGCTATAAAATAATTACCTCGATTATATTTTCTTTTCCCAAATTTAGATTCATCAATCTGGACTATCTTCCCTGGGCCACCAATCTTTCCTACCGCTTGAGTTTTATCCATTTGATATATAACTATAGTTTCCCTACAATAACTATACCAATCACATATAGTAACTCGGCTTAAGGATTTAAGTCTATCATCTTTATATGGATCTTCACGCATGGTTGTAAGATAGCTCCAATTTTGCGAAAACGCATATAATAAATAGAAAACATGAACTAATTCTATTTTAATATTTTCGAAAAATGTTCCTTTATTTCTAGGAACTTTAGTTTTTGATCTGCAATTTCCTTTCGTGCAACACCATGAACCAAATGTTTTATTCGTCGATTTAGCAATTTTCATGGGTTTACGATGTGTACTACATTGCTTTTGAGAATGCACTAAACCATTTTCTTCAGCGAATGCCACACACTGCTCATTGGTACCTAATTTTTTATATAATCTAATCAGATTCCACAATGAGACCACTTCCTCACTATTCAAGTCACGATTCACAACGGACCCATCGTCCTCAAAATCATTTTCACGAGTAGAACTTGTAGACGCCATCACTATAAATCTGAAAATGATCGCGAGAAATCAGTGTTGATTATGTATGTAAAGCCAAGTTTCAAAAAATGCAAATAAAATAACGCACTTTCACGTGAAAATAAAAAGAAACGGATTTATAAAGTAAACTTTGCACTGTAAAACTAATTACCGCTAGTCTAGCATAAACCACATTCAAAATGGCCGATTAAGTTTATAAAATTAATAGGGATGTGAAAAATAATCGATTTTTTTTAAAGTGAAAATCGATTTTTGTATTCGATTTTAATATTAAAAATAATTGAAAATTCGGCGACCAAATATTCATATACTAACTCTAACCTAACCAATCTAAATAATATTTGTTTTTGTGGACAGCTCCGATCTAAATAGAAATTGTTTATTCAAGCCTCGGCTTCTCGGCGTCCTGGTCGCCTTCGGCGACCAAATATTCATATACTAACTCTAACCTAACCAATCTAAATAATATTTTTTTTTGTGGACAGCTCCGATCTAAATAGTAATTGTTTATTCAAGCCTCGGCTTCTCGGCGTCCTGGTCGCCTTCGGCGACCAAATATTCATATACTAACTCTAACCTAACCAATCTAAATAATATTTTTTTTTGTGGACAGCTCCGATCTAAATAGTAATTGTTTATTCAAGCCTCGGCTTCTCGGCGTCCTGGTCGCCTTCGGCGACCAAATATTCATATACTAACTCTAACCTAACCAATCTAAATAATATTTGTTTTTGTGGACAGCTCCGATCTAAATAGTAAGTGTTTATTCAAGCCTCGGCTTCTCGGCGTCATGGTCGCCTTCGGCGACCAAATATTCATATACTAACTCTAACCTAACCAATCTAAATAATATTTGTTTTTGTGGACAGCTCCGATCTAAATAGTAATTGTTTATTCAAGCCTCGGCTTCTCGGCGTCCTGGTCGCCTTCGGCGACCAAATATTCATATACTAACTCTAACCTAACCAATCTAAATAATATTTTTTTTTGTGGACAGCTCCGATCTAAATAGTAATTGTTTATTCAAGCCTCGGCTTCTCGGCGTCCTGGTCGCCTTCGGCGACCAAATATTCATATACTAACTCTAACCTAACCAATCTAAATAAAATTTTTTTTGTGGACAGCTCCGGCGCTACGGGAAATGCAGCCCCTCCACCCTTGCGTACCAAAGCACAGGCATTTTATTCAAGCCTCCGCAACCTCGGCTTTTTGGTCGCCTTCGGCGACCAGCCTCAGCCGCTACAGCTTTCATAATGCCTGTGCTTTGTTACAGCGGGTGGGGGCTGCTCTTCCTCCGCGCCTCCGATTATTTATATACACTCTAGGGGTAAGACAGACAAGACCACGTGGATAGTGGGGTGCTCTGATTCGGTTTTGGGTACTTTTTGGATATTAAAGTAAACACTTTATTCTAGTAAAAATTAAATAATATAGAAAGTTGCAAACAATGAAATACAAGTACTAATTAGAAAATACAGACGAGTAGGTATCGATAATTTCAAAAAATTTCGGAACCCTATAATCTATCAACACGAAATTAGGTTAATTTCAATGTTGATTATTCTATAACTTTAAATTTCAAAAATGAGGAAATAATCGATAAATAAATAAAACGATTATTAACAATCGATAAATTAAAAACACGATTTTTTTAAGTGAACGTCACATCACTTATAACCAATAGAAAAGTAGAAAATGGCGGATTGTTTACAAATTTTAATACATTACACAAAACTTTAAATTTTTTATAAAAATATTAAGACGCGTTTCCGGAGCAAAACTCACTTGGAGGTGTTCCAATGAAGGTCCCCCGGACACTCCTAGATAATTAGTATCGTCAAAAACGTGAGGTGGTATTTAACACCCAACCCATTCTTTATAAACATGAAAAATAAAATGTTGCTTTTTTTAAACCCGGACACATCTCTTGTATTAAGGACATAAAAAGGTAACTTTTCACCAAATTTCGTGGAAAAAATTTTTTTTTGTAAAAGATAAAAATAAAACTTAAATTTTGAGGTTACTTGAAAAAAGTGTAAATACAAAAGTTTTAGATCTTTTATTATCTACAACTTTGCCATTTGACTTTTTTCCATAGGACTTTTAGTTTTGCCGGAAATCGAGATAAACCTTAAAAACTCACCCTTCCCGACCTCAGATCGCCCGTAAATTATTTTTCTTTTAATTTTTATAATATATCCTCCTTTTCCAATGGTTTTCATCCTACTTTATTTTTTTTGGTTTCAAAAATTATCCACCCTGGTCTATTGGTGGTGACCACTGTAAATGAAACTTTAATTAATATTCGTTAACTTTTTTTTCCAGAATAAAACAAATAAAGCACTACTACAACCTACGAGCACTATACACAGAGAATAAAGAATACGAAATTGGCTACTTAACACACGAAATAATATTCCGATACCAGATAATGCTAGAATTGTATAATTTTATAGAGAAGCGGTATTACAAAAACCTAACGTCAAATGTGGCACCTGTCAGTTTGATGTTATACTTCTATGGGAATATTCTAGAAGATAGCCATGCGATCATCCACCTTTGTAACATGTTGCACGAAGTAGACAGAAAGTTCAAGTATAATAGTAGAATCAAAAAGAAATACGACTCGGCCTTTAAGGATAGTTTTGGTTAGTAATTTGTTAGTTACAGCCCGTTCCCACTAGTCGAAAGTCGCATAAGACTAAAAGTCGAATGCTCTGGTCACCATACACTTTGTATGGAGCTGTTCACATTAGATGAGACGCGACTTTTAGTCGAATACGACTCAAAAAACCATCCGACGGGCCAGCGCCCGTCTTAAGACTAAAAGTCGCGTCGAATCATGCTCGCATAGGTGCCTGCTTGTTGCTGTTCACACTAGTCGTGCGTCTTTACGACTCGAGCGCGTTGTTACCTCCCTCCCCGCCCCGTTTCCTAGACACACATTCCTACACATTGCTTGCTCACTCCATTCGTGTTTTTTTGTTTGACTTCCCAAAGTCGATCTTTCTGTTAGGATTGGGTGCATCCAGTATTTTCTTGGAATTGAAATTTTTTTCAACTTTTTTAATTTTCTTCGTAAGTAGTAGAGCACAACAAGTTCTTCGTCGGCGTCCATGTCGCGAATTCGCTACGTACCGAATGGCGCGAAACTACGATCTATACGACTCGCGACGCAGTGTGAACAGGGACATCAGACTATCGACTTTTAGTCTTATGCGACTTACGACTAGTGGGAACGGGCTGTTAGTAAACAGCACGATTTGCTGTGTCAGTGTCTCGGTGGACTGCGGGGCGCAGTGGAGAGCTGGAGCACTGAGGCGCGCCGGCACGTAATAACAATTAGTTATGTAAAACATTAAATTAATGTAATTTTACTATTTTTTTTTCTGAAATGGATTAATTGGCTTGCGGTAAAATATATCGTGTAAATTTCAAAATCTTGTTCTATATATACATTTTCGTCATAAAATTAATTCAGTGTCAAAAATTGGCTATGTTTGGATTTTTTTTCTATCAAGCGTAGTTATTATCGTGTATCGATCTTTCAAAATGGATACATAAACTACTCAACTCCACCATATATTTTTTCCAATCGCACAACTTCAAGAAACAATGACGAAAAATGGAAAGAAACAATGTACTTTTTTGGAGTTTGGCGACCAGGTCTTTATCATAAAATATAAAAAAGATGTGGTGTCGTGGGACACCAGGTAAGAACGAAGTTCCTTCGGCTAATGTAGAATTGACACAATTTGCAAATCTCTTAAAAGACTTGAGAAAAAAATACAAACATGAGGGAAGCAATACCACCTTTTCAACGGCTAAACAACGATAAACTCTCTTTCCTTAACTTTCGTATTATCTTTTTCTGCCATTTTTGGGAAGCGTGCACGCGTGTGTCCTCCTTGCCGATGAAAAAATATTGCGCAATGCTCGCTTGTGTATACGACTGTCGCGCCTGCGCCCTTCTCATTTAACGATTTTATTCCACGGACTTTTTCTTACGGTTTTACTATCACATTTTTTTCAGTTCAGTTGTGCAGCAAAATCCCTACCTCCTCCAAGCCTGCCGTAAGGAACTTCGTTCCAAAAACTAAATAAGTCTCTGCACTCTGTTAACTGGTGCTGGTTACTGGTGCTGGAGGCGAATGTTAAGAATACGGTGGACTGCGAAGCGCACCAATACATTGATCTTGGCACAATTCCTAATACGGAGTCACATATAGATGTCTACTATATGCCCACAACGAATTATATCATATTTCGTCTATACAATGTGCAGAGGCTGTATAGACGAAAGAAGTTTGAAAAGAGTTTGAAGTTTCCTTGCTGACCACGGCGCTCAGAGCTGAGCTACCGACTGAAGAGACAGAAGAGATCTTTGGAACTCCACAGATTTATTTTGTATGCAAGTTAAAGTTGCCACAATTCGGTTATTTAGCCATGTAGAACGGGTGAATAGGTGATGGTCCGATGCCACCATCCAAGGGCAGACCTTGCCGTACATACGTGGAATAAATCCAGAACTAAAGAAGGGATAAGTCGAAACTACCTACCTATAACCCACGAGCATGCATGGTGGATGTCTTGAAAGTGGTACACAGCCGGTATTTCAGGACCGTAGCAAGTGAAGATCCGGGGTCACATAAATAAATGGTAACAGTTTTGAATACCATCGCACTTTTTTGACGATACTAATTATTTAGGAGTCTCGGAGGACCTTCATTGGAACACCTCCAAGTGAGTTTTGCTCCGGAAACGCGTCAAAAATTTTATAAAGATTTATAAAGTAAACTTTGCACTGTAAAACTAATTACCGCTAGTCTAGCATAAACCACATTCAAAATGGCCGATTAAGTTTATAAAATTAATAGGGATGTGAAAAATAATCGATTTTTTTAAAAGTGAAAATCGATTTTTGTATTCGATTTTAATATTAAAAATAATTGAAAATTCGGCGACCAAATATTCATATACTAACTCTAACCTAACCAATCTAAATAATATTTATTTTTGTGGACAGCTCCGATCTAAATAGTAATTGTTTATTCAAGCCTCGGCTTCTCGGCGTCCTGGTCGCCTTCGGCGACCAAATATTCATATACTAACTCTAACCTAACCAATCTAAATAATATTTTTTTTTGTGGACAGCTCCGATCTAAATAGTAATTGTTTATTCAAGCCTCGGCTTCTCGGCGTCCTGGTCGCCTTCGGCGACCAAATATTCATATACTAACTCTAACCTAACCAATCTAAATAATATTTATTTTTGTGGACAGCTCCGATCTAAATAGTAATTGTTTATTCAAGCCTCGGCTTCTCGGCGTCCTGGTCGCCTTCGGCGACCAAATATTCATATACTAACTCTAACCTAACCAATCTAAATAATATTTATTTTTGTGGACAGCTCCGATCTAAATAGTAATTGTTTATTCAAGCCTCGGCTTCTCGGCGTCCTGGTCGCCTTCGGCGACCAAATATTCATATACTAACTCTAACCTAACCAATCTAAATAATATTTGTTTTTGTGGACAGCTCCGATCTAAATAGTAATTGTTTATTCAAGCCTCGGCTTCTCGGCGTCCTGGTCGCCTTCGGCGACCAAATATTCATATACTAACTCTAACCTAACCAATCTAAATAATATTTTTTTTTGTGGACAGCTCCGATCTAAATAGTAATTGTTTATTCAAGCCTCGGCTTCTCGGCGTCCTGGTCGCCTTCGGCGACCAAATATTCATATACTAACTCTAACCTAACCAATCTAAATAATATTTGTTTTTGTGGACAGCTCCGGCGCTACGGGAAATGCAGCCCCTCCACCCTTGCGTACCAAAGCACAGGCATTTTATTCAAGCCTCCGCGACCTCGGCTTTTTGGTCGCCTTCGGCGACCAGCCTCAGCCGCTACAGCTTTCATAATGCCTGTGCTTTGTTACAGCGGGTGGGGGCTGCTCTTCCTCCGCGCCTCCGATTATTTATATACACTCTAGGGGTAAGACAGACAAGACCACGTGGATAGTGGGGTGCTCTGATTCGGTTTTGGGTACTTTTTGGATATTAAAGTAAACACTTTATTCTAGTAAAAATTAAATAATATAGAAAGTTGCAAACAATGAAATACAAGTACTAATTAGAAAATACAGACGAGTAGGTATCGATAATTTCAAAAAATTCGGAACCCTATAATCTATCAACACGAAATTAGGTTAATTTCAATGTTGATTATTCTATAACTTTAAATTTCAAAAATGAGGAAATAATCGATAAATAAATAAAACGATTATTAACAATCGATAAATTAAAAACACGATTTTTTTAAGTGAACGTCACATCACTTATAACCAATAGAAAAGTAGAAAATGGCGGATTGTTTACAAATTTTAATACATTACACAAAACTTTAATTTTTTTATAAAAATATTTAGACGCGTTTCCGGAGCAAAACTCACTTGGAGGTGTTCCAATGAAGGTCCCCCGGACACTCCTAGATAATTAGTATCGTCAAAAAAGTGCGGTGGTATTTAACACCCAACCCAAATAAATAAAGAGTTTTGTATTGGATTACAAAAATGAGATTTCCACCTGTATCACCTCGACGTCCACCGTTTCAGAACTGAGCTTTTCTATGGCAGGTTTTGCCGCGCACCAGCACTATGTGGAACCAGTTGCCCACTGAAGTTTTTCCGAACCAATTCGTCTTAGGGTCCTTCAAGAAATGAGCATACCAATTCTTAAAAGGCCGGCAACGCACTCGCGAGCCCTCTTGAGATGAGCCTCCTGCCCCCTGTTCGATAAAAAAAGATTTCATACCACAAAAATTTATCGATTTATGTCAAGTTTTCGAGGCAATAGTGAATTTTTTTTTATTAAACAACAAGTTACTGACCGCCCATGTAAACAAACTGGCACACCTTCTGAGCGGAGAAGGCGGTCTTCAGCATACCTGGCTAAAAAGAAGGGACGTACCAAGCCTATATAAAAGATTTACCTCTTGACAACAAGAGAGTCATGTGAAAAGTTTCATACAAGTATGGCTCTTGAGGATAACATGAACTGAGTAAAATCAAACAAACAAGTGGCTTATTGCTGGAAAGCAGATTGCCATGAAGCAGATACAAAAAAAAATAACTATAACTTGTGTAATTTTAAATCTAACATTCCACCCACTCATATATGAACAACTAAATAAAACAATAAAAGCTATGAGAGAAGGCGTATTCCGAAAGCGCCACTCTCATGGCTTTCCCTGAATAACTTAATTCAAAAAAAAAAAAAAAAAAACATTCCACCCACAGACGATACGAAAAAAGGCTCACCCAGAACATTATCAAAAGACGAGGCATATGAGAGATATCTGAAAATGAAGAGAAAAGAGGCGAACCGCAAATTGAGGCAGGCGAAAAAGAAACGGCAAATGTACATAAAATTTGGTATCACCACGAAAGCTGTTCCGAAGTATCAAACGAAGAAAAGGTAAGCTTTTCACTATTTTGGCGCGATATAAATATATCCAGCGTACGCAACCTTTTGGGTCAGGGCCATAGATTTCTGCCCCACGATTCTGTAACTCACTTTTCGAACTCACTCAGCGGTTTTCGCATCGGCGGTCGCTCTCAAATCAGTCGTGAAGCAGTCATTTTATGATTTGGCATTCTAATAAACAATAAACTACAAGCTTCCACCTTTTCAGAATGCCAAATCATAAAATGACTGCTTCACGACTGATTTGAGAGCGACCGCCGATGCGAAAACCGCTGAGTGAGTTCGAAAAGTGAGTTACAGAATCGCAGGGCTGATTCGTGGTCATTTCTTGTTTTAGGCAAGTAGGTGATCTGGTTCTGTGCCTGAAGGCGTTGATTTTGGGTCTAGGCGTGACGGTTTGCGACGATGTGTAGAGAGGAACGGAGATTACTTCGAAAAACAATAAAAGTATTGGCAACTTTCTGCATTAAGCCGTTTTTCATTTTCTACAAATTTTCAGTGTTACCTAGGTAGATGTCATTACTTGTAACGAGACCTGGTTATATAAATTTAAAATTTTCAATTAATCATAATATTTTTATCAACAGCCGATATCCTCTCCACTACGGATGGTCGTTGGAGGACTGGCCACCGAAACCGGAACAGAATTAGATATTGTTGTGTTTAAAAAAACTGTCATAATATTAAAACTAATAAAATAATACAAAAAAAAACTTGTATATTATATGAAGTTGTTTTGAAGACCCCCTTGACACTTGGAGTCAATAACAACTTCCTACATCGATAGATAAAAACAATTCAAAATTGTAAATTTTGTTAATTTTAGTAATATTTTGATGATGACAATTATTATAAAATAAAATAAAAATAGCCGTTATTCGAGTACTACACTACACTATAACTACACTAAGTCCGAGTCATTTATGATTTACACTAGTACTCGACCTCCGACGGAGTAAGTCCTCCAAATTCTTCCACTTGTCCCTATTCCTTGCGACAATTTTCCAATTTTGCCCCGCTATCCCTATTATTTCATCTTCCCAAGTTTTTGGTGGGCATTCTCTGTTTCTTCTTCCCACCTATCCATTCCAAGTGTTATGAATCCTCAATATTCGACTATTTAATTATACAAATACTTCTCCTTATTGTCAGTTGTTTGGCATCAGCCATTTAAATCGACATTGAGAGTCTACTGTTTAAAGGCTTCTGCTTAGTTAGACCGCTCAATCGAACTGAGGGCCACACCAACCAGTTCCTGTATTTAAGCAACCAGATTTGTCATTAACCAGTTTCGTGACTTGTACTCGTTCCACGACCGAACGAATCGACCACAGAGTCGAACGCATCATAGGAAGAGTGTCAAAGATTACTTTAATATTTAAAATTATGATAAATAACGTTTAATAATAATAAGTAATCACAAATTCCTTACACAAGTAAGGGTCTTTTTGACCCATCTGCCATCGCAAATGTGGCCAATGTGACCGGCCCATTTCCACTTTAACTTTTTTGTATATATAACAGATACGGGCAAACTTCTTGAGCATTAAACAAAGTGGGGGAATGCGCATCGTACACACAAATGTCAACTGATTTACCAATCACCCGATCGACACGTCACTCTCCCGCCGCCGCAGAGTTCAAAAAGTGAGTTACAGAATTGCAAGGCAGAAACGATAAAAGTACCTATCTATTTTCATTTAGGAATCATACTCGTGAACGTGTTGTTCCCACGAGAATGTAAGTGCGTGCTCCTATTTCACCATGCCTTCTGCTGATAGAGGACAAGTCTTTGTTTTTAATTTATGTTATTATTATTAATTACTTAAGATGTCATGTGGAACATGGTGTAATGGTTGTAGCTCCTTACAAACGTTGTGTAAAACAAACTTGGCGATTAAAAAGAGTGACGGAGAGTTAATGCCAGTTCTTCTCGTCCGTTCTACGCCCTTGATTTGAGAACTGGCAGTAAATGTAAAATTAGAAGCATTAATATGTATTTCTTTAATGACGAATCACAAGTGTACATTGTGTTACCTACGTGAATAAATTATTTTTGAATTTTGAATTTTGAATTTATTATTACTAACTTGATATTTTGGACAAATCACACAATTTCGTTATTTGTAGCCTATATGTTAGTAGCTAAAACTAAAACTTTACAAAAGGGGCCTCATAGCCTAGCGGTCTTATTAAGTGGCAGCTAGATGAGGGGTACCGGGTTCGATTCCCGGTTCGAGGGCAAGTTTTAATTTAATTTAAATTTGTTCTCGGCATTTGGGAGGGTTGTGCGGTACCGGGCGAGTGCTTAAACCGTACATGGAGGACACGGTCGAATTTCTAAAGACAAGCACGAATTATAAAAAATCCTATACTTGACGCTGGCTAATGCACAAATCGTGCCAGAGCCATTAAAAAAAAACTTTACAAATGTAAGTTTCATAAAACGACGAACGATTTGACGACTCATTGGTCTAGTGGTTAGTACCCCTGACTGCGAATCCCGGGTTCGATCCCCGGCTGAGACGAACATCGATGTGATGAGCATTTGGTGTTGTGCTTAGGTCTTGGGTGTTTAAATATGTATTTATATGTCTATCTATAATATGTATGTATATCCGTTGCCTAGTACCCATAACACAAGCTTCACCAGCTTAGCATGGGACTAGGTCAATTGGTGTGAATTGTCAAAAAAAAAAAAATATCTATTCAGTAGTTTTTACGTGAAATAGTAACAAAGATCCATACACACATGCAAACTTTTGCGTTTATAATATTAGCAGGTATATTTATTTTTGTATATTTTATGTTGAAACTAAGAAGGGAATTAATAAAGTGTTAATATACCTAATATATACTCAAGGTCCGAGTCGAAAACTCTACGACCGTTCCAATAATTTTTTTTATTTTTATTAGTTGTATGTTTTACTCGACAAACATACAACTCGCTTCGGGTGCAGTATAATAACGCATTTAGGGTGTTGCTGGGGCTGCCTCGCTTCTGCAGTGCATCAGGAATGTTTTCAGAGGCGCGGGTGGATTGCTTTTTCGCCACTATGCGAAAGCGGTGCGCTTCTTTGGTGCGCCGGGAGCGCGGCAGCTCCAGCAACATCTTACGGATGATAGTCGAAAGAATGGAGTGCCCCTATTTACGACACTGCTCCGACATCTCCGCAGGGCTTTGTACCTGATAGTTTTTATTTAACTACTTTTTCCTTATTTTTACTAATTCTCTAACATAGATCTTAAGAAACTATTGTTACTAACTCACTAATCAATCAATGGACTGTATTTGTCTGATTAATAAAAATTATTATTATTATTATTAATATTATTCTTAAAACGCCGGCAACGCACTTGCGAGCCTTCTGACCATGGTAACTTAACTTGCTTATAAAACCCTTGCTAAATAAAAAATTACAATAATAATATTTTGGGATATTTCTTTCCCTATTATATATATCGTTGTCGGAAACCACTACGCCACTGATAACTTAATAAAATATTTATTTATCTATAGCCTTATATCAGAAATACAAAATATAAAAATTATAGTTATTTTTTTTCTTAATCTACGATAACCGATTCTCTGCCTAGGGGCAGAGGCCTCCCCCATTGTCCTCTATTTTTTCTTATTATATACCAATCTCATCCAGGTCTTTCCAGCCATTTCCATGATTTCATCAGCTCATTTAATAAATAACCTTGTTTCAAGCTTATGTTAAATTTTTGGTCTACGCCTAAGACTTATCTTGATAATTGTTAATAGACAGCCTTCTGTGCCAAAGACATACCGACGTCCATGCTCAACATATAGTAATCGATATATATCATACGACATTCGCTTGATTTGCTGTATACATATATCTCTTTGATTGTGTAAAATAATCAAAGAAGTTATCTACACCGCGGATGTGTCAAACACGCATAAAAGAAGCGTGAAGATTATTATATTTCTAATAACTAATTTATAATTTTTGCAGCAGTTTTGGCCTAGTGAGAAGTGGCTTCATGGTGTCGTGGCGACTCTCATGGGGTCGTAGGTTTGATCCTATGGATCGTTCGTACACACTCACAGAAGGTTGATCACCTGCTTGCCTATTAGAATTATCACAGAAAAGCTACAGAAATCTGAGGCCCAGACTTCAAAAGGTTGTAGCGCCATGGGAATAAATTAATAATTTCTAATTCTAAATAATGTAATGCAAAAAAAAACACAAATGTAAATCAGCGCCATCTGTTGGTGACAAGTGGTACTAGGATCGGTTTAATTATGAGCGTGCTAGTCGGACATTGTATGCGTACTCTTTTTTTTTTTTTTTTTCAGTGGCTCTGGCACGGTTTGTGCATTAGCCAGCGTCAAGTATAAGATTTTTATAATTCGTGCTTTTTGACTCGACACACAACCCTCCCAAAGGCCGAGAACAAATTTAAATTAAATTAAAACTTGCCCTCGAACCGGGAACCGAACCCGGTACCCCTCACGTTGCTGCCACTTAATAAGACCGCTAGGCTATGAGGCCCCCATGCGTACTCTTGGAAATGTAAAATTTTTATGGATGAGCATTTCTATATTTATTTATAAAATAATACAAGAAAGTATGACATCATAAATTTTACACACATACACATCAGTTATATTAGAACATAAGCAAGATAGCAAGGGGAAAAATTAAACAAGCAACCACAAAATAAATTAAATAACTAAAACTAAATGAAATTTGAACTTAAATCTCATTAAGAGCATGATAAATAAAGTTACGATAAGTTGGAATATTGTTGTAAAATATCAATATTTTCGTCAATGTTAGTAATCAAGTTGTAAGAGCGAGATAGCCTATTCTCTGGACCATTAAAAGAAGCAGATAAGGGAGCCATAGGTACGTATAGAAGACTTTTAGTTCTAGTAACTCTAGATTAGGAAAATTTTGTAAGAGGTTAATATGAGTATTAAAGTTAAATATTTAATACAAATAAACTAGATCAATGAAGTCATATTATAGAAATCTGCAAGCGTTCAGCAGAAGCAGTCATTTTATGATTTGGCATTCTGTTAAGGTACCTCTTGTAGTTTATTGTTTATCAGAATGCCAAATCGTAAAATGACTGCTTTACCACTGATTTGAGCGCGATCGCCGCTGCGAAAACGGCTGTGAGAGATCGAAAAGTGAGTTACAGAATCGCAAGGCTGTAGACTGCCGGCAGGGCCGTGTTTTTACTGTGTTTTGACACAGTCCCAAAATCTTAGCGACTGTCTCGACTCAAATCCTTACCGAACTCTCAGATTTAAGACTTGATTCTTCTGATGATTATCGATTTATTTGAATTTCGAATTGCACGCCAATCCATATATAATTAAATCTCTAAATGAAATAAAATCTCCAATTATATAGGTTATATAATTAAGATTAATATATGTTATATTATTATTAATATATGTTTATGATTTTATAATTTTATGCACATTAATTATTTATTTTACACTATATTAAGTTCAAGAAATCTGAAACAATAATCGAGAAATCTATCGTTAACAGAATAAATCTTCCCTAATAATTTTACTTAAAATATTAAATAACTGTATATTTCTTTTTATTAATAAATGATGCATATATTATATTGTATATATATATTTGATTAATATATATATA